CGCACAAATACGTAGATCCAAACGGAAGCAGTACATCCATAGCCACATCGGATAACTCTCTGTATTCTTCTGCCACTGCGATCCAAAATTCAGGTAGTGTGGAATTGGAAAATAAAGTTTTTAATGTCCGATCACTGGACAGCTCCAGCAAAGCATCTTCCAGTTTTGTGGGGAGATTAGTCCTAGTTTCAGTGAATGGTTGTCGTATCCAGTCATACAGTTCTGGTTGCGTCTCTTTTGGAAAATACTTCTGGAATTGTTCCAAAAGGCAGTGGAGATGACCAGTGATGTGTGTTTTCAAGTTCCCGAGACTCAGTCCATTCTCCTCCAGACGTTCATCCAGCTCAGGAAACATCTCCACATTACCTTGTTCAACTCGCTCAGCCCATCTTTCCAGCTTTTTCACAAATGCATCAATTTTCTCATTCATTGTCAAGATGTTTGTGTTTGGACCTTGTAATGAAAGATTAAGCATGTTAAGCCTTTCAAATATACAGGCCAAATAAGCAAGTTTTGATAACCAATCTGGATCTTTCAGGTGGTGCGCGAATTCAGATTTAGATTCTTTCAACAACGAGTGCACTTCGTCACGCAGTTCGTAAAGCCGGCCGAGTGCCTTCCCGCGAGATAACCACCGGACTTCGGTATGAAACAGTAGCGCTTCGTGCTGCGAGCCCATCTCATTGCAAAGGGTGGCTAGCAGTCTACTGGTTACTGGACGTGACTTTATGTGATTTACAATTTTTATTGCACTTTTGAGAACACTGTTAAGCTCACTGTCAAGTGCTTTGCTAGCAAGAGACTCACGGTGAATGATGCAGTGCGTAAACTTAACATGAGGAGCCACTTCTAAAACCTTTGCCTTCAGTCCCTTATTTTTACCTACCATTGCACCTGCACCATCAGTACATACGCCAACACAGTTATCCCATGAAAGTCGCATCTCTTTTAGTCTGGTGTCCAGCTTGTTGAAAATGTCACTGCCCGTACAAGTCCCCTCCAGCACTGAGCAGAAAAGCATTTCCTCGTGCAGTTTTCCATCAAATGTGTATCTGATGAATGCCAGCAACTGAGCAGAATTAGACACATCTGTAGATTCGTCGAGCTGTAACGCATATTTCTTTCCATTTAACCTATTAATCAATTGACTCTTTATGTCTTTTGAAATATCATGAATACGGCGAGCAATCGTGTCATTCGACAATGGGACAGTCATAAGCTCACTTGCAATTTTCTCGCCATGCATGGCCCGACACATAGCCACAGCTGCGGGCTTAATCAAGGTTTCACCGATCGAGTGTGGCTTTTTGGACTGTGCTATCAGGTATGCGACCTCATAAGATGCCTTCAGAGCATTAGCGGTAATTTGGGTTTGTTGTGCGAGTGTGCGTTTTTGATTCTGTAATTCCTTCTCTTTTCTGCGAAAAAAGTCTATAGGTTTTTCAACACAAGCAGGGTGTCTTGTCTCCAAATGTCTCTGCATTTTTCCTGGCTTCATACTTTCATGGGCAAGCACTTCTGAACAGATTACACACTGAGGATGGTCCACGTCATTGACAGTAGAGCAAGTGAATCCATACTTTATGAATTCCTCTTGATATTTCCGACGTTTCCTACATTGGTCAGAAGGGGTCTTGCTCTTGTGTTTAGTAGATGTACACGGTTCAGATGACTCAGGCAGACTGTCCACAATTTCCTCAACTTTTTTAACCTTGCGAATTACAAATTTATCCATTCTTGAAGTTGCAGTTTCCACGTGCAGTTGCGTGCGCTATTGATAACAAGCGATCAGTCGCCACACGGTGACGTCATATCTTCGAGTCAAGAAATATATATATATTTTTTAATTGAAACCTTCTAATCACTTCAGTCTTTAAAAATAAGAAAATATTAAGAAAAATATTAGTTGTACTATTAATTTTTCAGTATTGAAAAATATTTATTGTAATCTAAAAATAAATAAATTTTTCAAACCAACTCGCGACCCATTGAAATCATTCCGTGACCCCCCGAGGGGTCGCGACCCCCAGTTTGAGAACCACTGCCGTAAAGGAATATGTTACATCGCAAGAGCTGATGTCACGCGATACTTCCTGATGCTGAGGCCGGCGGCTCGCCGCACCGAAGCTGCAAGTGAGATTTTTCCGCTCACAGGCACCAGGGGGGGGGGGGGGGTTTGAGATGCCCACCATTCAACCCGAAAGAAGTCATATAAACATTTTAATAACTCTGAAGCTGTTAAAGGGATACTCCACTTTTTTTGGAAATATGCTCATTTTACAGAGTTAAACTGTTGAGTTTTACCTTTTTTGAATCCATTCAGCCGATCTCCGGTTCTGGCATTAGCACTTTTAGCATAGCTTAGCATACATCATTGAAGTGCACTAGACCATTAGCATTTCTCCCAAAAAAATTAGCAAAATGGTTTGATATTTTTCCTATTAAAAACTGAACTCTTCTGTAGTTACATCGTGCGTAAGACAGACGGAAAATATAAAATTGCGATTTTCTAGGCTGATATGACTAGGAACTATACTCTCATTCCTGCGTAATAATCAGGAAACTTCACTGCCGTACCATGAGTGCAGCAGGCACAATGAATACACAAACTTAGTCCCGGTCACGTTAGAAGCTGGGGACTATTTTCAGGCGCTGCGTCATAACATTACGCCTGCTGCACTCATGGTACGACAGTGAAGTTTCCTGATTATTACGCAGGAATGAGAGTATAGTTCCTAGTCATATCAGCCTAGAAAATAGCAACTTTACATTTTCCGTCGGTTTTAATGCACGATGTAACAACAGAAGAGTCAAGTTTTAAATAGGAAAAATATCGAAACACTTTGGTCATTTTTTTCTGAGAAATGCTAATGGTCTAGTGCACTTCAATGATGTATGCTAAGCTATGCTAAAAGTGCTACTGCCAGAACCGGAGATCGGCTGAATGGATTCAAAAAAGGTAAAACTCAACAGTTTAACTCTGGGGGAGTTGTAAAATGAACATATTTCGGAAAAAAAGTGGAGTATCCCTTTAAATTAAGCTAAAATAACTGCATAGTTTCCCTTTAAGTAAGAAATAATGTAGTACCGGCCTTGATTTTTTTTTAACATTTATTGATTTTTCATTGACTGTCAATATGTCTGTTATATTATTTATTGGTAACACTTTACAATAAGGTTGATTAGTTAACATTAGTTAATGTATTTACTAACATGCACTAACCATGAGCAATACATTTGTTACTGCATTTGTTCATCTTTGTTAATGTTAGTTCATGAAAATACAGCTGTTCATTGTTTGTTCATGTTCGTTCACGGTGCATTAACTAATGTTAACAAGATTTTAATCAAGTATTAGTAAATGTTGAAAATAACATTAACAAAGATTAACAAATGCTGTATATGTGCTATTCATTATTAGTTCATATTAACTAATGTAGTTAACTAATGTTAACTAACGAACCTTATTGTAAAGTGTTACCTATTTATTCATATTATTTCCCCCTGCTCACGTGGCATTGAAAAAGAAAGAACAGCTGATTTCAGCAGTCAAGAAAGTAATTATATTTTCATGATTTTCAAGATTATGAAAACCCTAATTTCTTCTTTATGATAACATGACTGTTGAATCATGCACAATACAATTCTTCATTATTTATTAAGTAAATAGGGTGAATTTTGATACATTTCACAGTGTTGTCTGGACTCTATAGGGCTGTCAGTCGAGTATGTGCAGGATGGGTTATTATCGTGCCGGAAGACTTGAATGTCTCTTGGCCTTCCTGTCACGCTGGGTGACATTCCCTGGTCTCTCCGCCCTCCAGCGTCCGAGTCAGTGCTCATCTCTTCTGAAGCAGACGTTAGCCTGTGTCTTTCAGTGGGATTGCATCAGCTTGCACACCTGCTTTTTAGGTCTTTGTCTTATTGGGCAGCGGATATGCACACCTCCGTTTAGAGCTCGTTTAATGCTGCTTTTATTTGTGTGGGTCGCTGGTTCTCTCTGATTCTCTGAGATTACTTTCCGCATCCTCAATGTTTACACATGAAGTTTCATCTTCTGCCATGAAGAGCGGTTTGATAGCATGTCTGCGTTATCTGTTTATGAGGTCCTGTGGGGGATAAAGGCAGAAGAGAATTTGATTCGGCTCTATTGGAGAAGCAGAGAGAGAGAGAGAGATTCACTGCAATTGTCTTGTGTTCCACCGCTGTTTAATGATGTCATAGTCGGCAGCTATGATTCCATAATGTTTTTAAAGGGACAAAAGGGAAGAAATAAACACATCTATATATCTATTCCATGTACGACCTTCTAGGGTCATAGTGCTGGAGTTTATCCCAGTTTCTTTTAGGCCAGAGGCAGGGGGAAGCACCCTGGACAGATTGTGTGTGGACACATTTATGACTCTCCACTTCGCCTAACCTGCATTTCTTTAAAATACCTTTAAAAACAAAACACCTTTGAATGATGTTATCCAGTTACAATAAAACTTTTAAGCTTCTAAGGGGATGCTAAAGCACCATGTATTCATAAAAAAAATAGTCTGAATGATTTGTGTGAACTACTTTTAATGCTTCATCGCTGATATTCAAGTATGCAGACGTTCAAGAACTGAATGGTTACCGGAACTGAATGTCATGTAAATCATTTGGTGCCAGTATTTTTATGTAAATTAAGTCTTTTTATGGGAAACTATTGTTGTCATCAACACCAGACGATGGGTGCAGTAATTATTTTCATATTTCAGATAAATCCACTCAGTTTTAGATTGCCTCTTGTTTAACCACTCACATTGAATTTGTTTATTTACTGATTCGATAAATGTATTAAAACAGAAATGGTTTATGATCATGTGCTCAGACTTGACCTCCTTTTATTGGTATCAAAAAATAGATTTACCAGAATGTTTTTACTACTGCACTGAAATGAAGACTTTTAATAACACTATGCGATGGAAACTTGTGGGCGTTTCATTGAGCTGTGTGATTCTGTTGTGTTCTAGAACTCACTTTGAGGCCAGATCTTTCGAACTGCCACACTCCCATGGGCTGCCCGACCCTGCCAGGCTCTCCGGGGATGAAGATCTACATCGACCCCTTCACCTATGAAGATCCAAATGAAGCCGTCAGAGAATTCGCCAAGGAAATAGATGTCTCCACCGTCAAGATTGAAGAAGTTATTGGGGCAGGTGTGTGGTGTGTTTCTGCTACATGCATGTGTAAATGCATGAATCACTTTGACTTTTTTGAGCAAAAAGCTTTAAAATTACATAAACATTTTGAATGCTATTGATGTAACAGTTTTCAGATATATATAAAAAAAACATGAATGTTTCATTTTTTAAGGTTTATTAAAAAAATAAATAAATCTACATCTAATTAATGGCAATTTAATTGCATATTAAATTCGGCTGAAAAATATCCCCAAAAGAACCTTTAAAGTCATTATTAGGTTCAATGAGAAAAGCATCATATATACATTACAAAAAGTAGCTTTAGAAATAAATATTTGGTTTAATTCAACATATAATTTATTACACATAAACTTGTAGGCTACAACAGCCATGATTTTTTTTTTTTCATCTGAATTGGCATTTAAATATATGTATAGACCAAAACAGTTTGGTTACCAACATTCTTCAAAATATATTTTATTATGTTCTGCAAAAGAAAGAGTGTCATACAAGTTTAAAATGTGGTGAGGTTGAGTAAATGTAAATAAACAGAATTATCCCCAAACTATGAAATATTTATTTATTTTTTTTAATGGAATGATTCTCTAAATAAGAAACCAAAACTGCCAATAGCTGGCGGTAAATGTCTACATTGAGTAATTTAAACATTTGATTCTTTTAAGAGGCTGATTCATTCAAGGATGAATTAATGGCTCCCTTTATGAATTGAATCATTGGTTCACCCGATTTATTCTCATAAAACCCGTATTCATTCAGAAATTAAACACCGCTATGTGATGCTGTGGAATTGTTCAAATTAATATTAACAAAGATGAATAAATGCTGTATAAGTGCAGTTCATTATTAGTTAATGTAAACTAATGTAGTTAACTAATGAACCTTATTGTCAATTGTTACCTTATAATGTATACAGTGTTAGACTGGGGCTTTTCTGGGACAGATTTGAAGCATGTGTACCTCTTTGAACTTTTATATACCCTCAGTATGTCTGCATTTACTCACAAACACAAGAAAGGCACCCAACACAGCATCCTGGGGGTCTCTGCTCTTCTCTTCGACTCTGGTGAAGACGAGTTATGACTCAGTCTGCTCTGATGCCGAAAGCGAAAGTTAATCCACTGATTCATCTCATATGGATATCACACAGATCATAACAAATACTCTCAACCTTTTACCACTAAAACTCAAATCAAAGTTGATAGAGTTTCTCTTTAACCTATATCTCTTACTATTTTTGCCCATTTTTTCTTGAGTTATATTGATTTTATAACACTTCTGGCTCCATATAAATAATCTAACTTGGTTTTGTTCCAGAGTTGCTTCTACTGAAGTTATTGTATGCAACCTGGGGTTTAGTGACATGCTGAATGTCAGAATGAACCCAGTGACTCAATCCTGAGTTGCATCCACATGGTTGCGAGCTGCAGCCCAAATCCTTAACATTTAAGCTACCACATATGAACTGTTTGAATCATTTTGGAGGTAATTTGGTAACTATATTTTTAGTTCTCTAGGGTTAACAGTAGTCCAGTCCCAAGCCTTTTGACTCCTTTCCGTCAGTCAAAGCGGTGTTACGTCACAAAGGTTCAAACTCAGAGGAAGACCTTGAGTGTTTAGGGTGCCATTCAGAGCCATGTTTAAAAGTTGACAGTTTGCCACATTGGTTTACTTAGCCTACAAATGGTTTACTTATCATGGAAAAGTTACAGAAATCAGCTTGATTAAAGGCACACTATGCAGGAATTCGTTTTTGTCAAACAGCGAACCCTAGAGTTGCTGTGGAGTACTTTATTTAATGGTATTTAATGTTGCTGTCGTAAATACCACGCATGCAGAGTGTCTCTGCACTCACGGTATGATTTTCCTCTGAAGATGTTATATCAAGGTACAAATCTTGCATAGCGTGCCTTTAAATAAGAGATCTGGGGGGTGTTTATTGGTAGGCCTACTATGATATTAGACTACATAACCTCTAATAAAAGATAATGAATTTCAAACCTGAACCAAACTTTTTTTTTCATTAGTCTTTAGTCTGCCACTAAAAAACAGCGTGTTGTGGTTCCACGTAACACAGTCTCATCCCAAAAAGTCATATAACTGACGTCTTGGGACGTCTTTTGACCATACGTCAATATCCGCCTTTTTAGGGCCCCCTTAAACGTTGGTAGATGGCGATCCCGGGCCGTCATAGAACTGACGCTTTACCTTTAACGTCAGTTAGGTGACGGGGTAGGTTTAGGGTTAGGTTTAGGTCTGGGGTAGAGTTAGGATCCCATAACCTCATCTACCAACGTTTAAGGGGGCCCTAAAAAGGCGAATATTGACGTATGGTCAAAAGACGTCCCAAAACGTCAGTTATATGACGTCTTGGGATGAGACCGGGTTGTTCCACGAAACGAATTAATGAAAATTTGCCTATCAATGTATTAAAGAACTTCAAAAAAGGGCCACCGACGGGGGCCGACTCAACCTCCACGGACAGTTTTTAATATTTTATCAGACAACAACCACTCAAGATTTTGCTTTAGTATAATTTTAAGGACAATAGGCTATATGCACGCATAAGTTCCGCATTTGACGCAAGGATGCTCTTCAATTTCCAGTTGGGGAGATTAAAGCAGTGGAAAACTGAGGAAAACGGGATTATGGCAAAATCTTCAAAATTTACTGTCCTCCCGTCTTTGAAACGGAACTTTCATGCGTTTAGATGTAATTTTACAGTATATATAGGTATGTTTATTTAATATAATTTTAAAAAGAAGCATAAACACAATGAGTGGTGTCTGTTTTATCTGTTTTTGTGACAAACGTTTCTTTAGTATAACCATGGAATATAAAATTCAATATAAATTCTCGTTATTGCATTGGACTCCACGATCGGCGGAAGTTATCGAGCATCCTTAGACCTTCACCGGAAATACTGCCATGCATAGAGCCCTTTGGCGCCGGATTCAGGACAGCAGCTTAGATTTCGGGACGTCTGGTGCCCTTTATGTGGCGGCATGCGCACATTCTCCACTTGAACGCACTCTCTACAATCTATCGCCTTTGCGGACTCTCCCAATTCATTCTGGTGAAATTACAAAATAAAATGAACACAAACTTAGAAATATTTACTTACTAGTCCATCAACAAGATCGCCAGGTCAGCATCACTGTTGCATCCAGTGCTGCTTTTTAGTTCGCGTCAACGAGTGAAAATCCACATCTATGGAAAAGCCTGACGAGTGGAACTCTTGTCTGGTTCATCGCGCAGTCATATGATCTTTTCCTTTTCTTAGTCTCTTCCGACTGCATTTTCTTTGCTTTTTCCATCATCGAGTATCACGCCTGAAATGCGGGCAAGTGTCTTAATGCCTCATATGTTGTTGTTGATGTGTGTGACGTCGTTGCCGTAAAGCATGTTGTAATTCTCGCAAGATTTGTCGGGGGCGCTCCTCTCAAACTTGCATTGCTGGTTTTTCCAGCGGCGGCCCATCCAATCTTTACTACCAGGATGATTTGCCCTACTACGAGTTTATTTACCACCAATTACTTTGAAGCTGTTATATTAAGGTACGATTCTTGCATAGTGTGCCTTTAAATCCTGAAATGTTTCACTTAAAGTTTGGGACTTTTAAGGCGTCTTTATTTGCTATTGAAGTTATGTAACATTTGAATGCACTTGGATTGATCTATACAGATACTTTTTTGCTGAATCACTGAAGTTCATTTTCATTTTGGGTGGTTCGTTTTAAGGATGTTAAGGCTAAATTTAAGTAAGTGCATAAGTGATTTTCCATCATGCAGTCAAACTATATAACTTCTCAAATTCTGACTTTCAGTCATTGACATATTTCTGACAGGTTTTGCTTTTGGGAAACCAATTTTCTGTGTAATTTATTGATTCAAAGCTCTTTCTACTGCTCCAAACATACACATTTCCATCCATTGAATTATGAAGTTTGAATCTACTGTCTAATAGTTATGAGCTTGAATCTTTAACCACTTTATAGTTGTTGTGCTCTAAATACTCTCCTAAATTTTATTTTTTTATCTTAGTTATCACTTAGTTGTCCTGCACCTGAGCCCAATTTAGGTGTTTGGGATGTGCACACCATTTTTTGACTTTTCACTAAATACTCTCCCACTCATTTTTCCTCTCTCTGCACCCCAGGTGAGTTCGGGGAAGTATATAAAGGTCGACTGAAACTGCCTGGAAAACGAGAGATCTACGTTGCCATCAAAACACTGAAGGCGGGTTATTCTGAGAAGCAGAGACGCGACTTCCTGTCTGAGGCGTCAATCATGGGGCAGTTTGATCACCCCAACATCATTCGTCTTGAAGGCGTGGTCACCAAAAGCCGGCCGGTCATGATCGTCACAGAGTTCATGGAGAACGGGGCACTCGACTCTTTCCTTCGGGTAAATGCAACATCCAAAACAAGCACAGACACACACTCTCTCTCTCTCTCTCTCTCTCTCTCTCTCTCTCTCTCTCTCTCTCTCTCTCTCTCTCTCTCTCTCTCTCTCTCTCTCTCTCTCTCTCTCTCTCTCTCTCTCTGTTTTTCTTTCTGTTTCATTCTTTCCCTCTGACATGGAGAAGTACATTGCTTAATCGATGTTCAGCCTGTTTTTTTCAATCTCATGGATTGGTTCTCCCTAGCTTTGATCTGAAGCCACAATAAAGGTTCTCTTTGAAGTCGGCTTAAAAATCCACCACATCCGAGTAGCGTCACCATTGATCCACATACCCCACCCCTGTTTGTTATCGTGCGTTTAGTTCAAAGCTTTCACTTGTGCAACATGGCAACTGTGTACAGAAGTTTCGAAAAATGTCCCCCACTGTGTGCTGTTCACATTTTTAAGACGGCTACTGGTGAAGATTGTTAAACACAAATGATCCTCAAAAAAGCTAAATCAATATGTTTCTTTCATGGTTGTGGAAATATTTATCATATTTATTTTATTTATGTTTATTTTGTCCGTGCTGCTGTTCTCAAATTATAGAAGGGTTTGTCTTTTAATAAAATTGTGCTTTAGGTGCTCTTCGGTCATTTCTGACCGAAATATTTTCTGTTTTTAATTTCTAAAAATCACGGCTTCATCGGAATGTTATGAAACTTGGTGACTTTTATGGCATTATGTATGTGAATAAAAAAAAAAAAAAAAAAAAAAAAAATGAGGTCATGATCCGAGCATGCTAAGTGGTCGTAAAAAAAAAATAGTCACACTTGTGGTCTTCGGTCAAAAATGACCGACCCATAGGAAATGAATGGGAAATTGAAAAAAAAAATTATCTGAATTTTTGTACGTGCAATCTACAAATCGGCCACAATTCTAAAAAAAAAAAAGTACACCGCAGGAAAGGGGTGACACTCTACAACATTTAGAGTGCAAAACAGACAAACCCACACACACACACACACATACAAACACACTTTTATACACATACACACCAATACATTTTGATTACAAAAAGTATGTTTTGAATTTTTAAAAATCACAGTTTCATCGGAATGTTACGAAACTTGGTGACTTTTCGGCATTGTGTATGTGAACACACAAAAAAATTGAGGTCATGATCCGAGCATGCTAAGTGGTCTTAAAAAAAAAAATAGTCACACTTGTGGTCTTTGGTCAAAAATGACCCCATAGGAAATGAATGGGAAATTGACAAAAACAAAGTTTTTTTTTTTTTTTTTTTACATTTTTTTAATAAAAAATCGTTTTTGAGATTGTTTCAACTATATATTTAATCCACCAAAAAAAAAAAAAATGTGTTCATAAACATCTGGGGAATTCACACGCCTCTCCACAGAAAGCTGTACATGCCATCTAGTAGTTACACCATGATTCTACGCTTTTTCTCTATACTGTAACCAGATGGTGCTAATTTTCTTCAAAAATATATATATTTTTTTTTTCTGAAGGCCTAGACTCTATATTAAACTAAAATACTGCATTAATCATTTAAAAAAAAAAAAAATATATATATATATATATATATATATATATGTATATATCCATGGCAAAATATACCATAAATATTGCATAAATATTAATAAATTCAATCAAATTGTCTGAAAATACTAAATTACAAAGAATAAATATTATAGAACAAAAATAAATTGCATTGGTTTTACTGGGATGGAGGAAATGTAATTTTTAGGTGTCCGGTCACTTTTGACCGGGAAGATAACAAGTGTGACTCCGAAACGAAGAGCACCTGAGGGTTAATAACATTAATACATAACATTAAGTTACATTTCAATGTTAATTGAAGTTCTACGTCCTGTTTTCGACCCCTATTCAAATCATTTTAAATGGACTCACCAGGGTAACCACCAGATGTGTACAGCTAAACACAGAGAGCTCATTTGATTAAGCTTTGACATATTGGTGAATGTCAAGTCATATTTGTGTTGTGTGGTAGCAAAACGACGGGCAGTTCACGGTGATCCAGCTGGTGGGGATGTTGAGGGGAATCGCTGCAGGGATGAAGTATCTGTCGGAAATGAATTACGTCCACCGAGACCTGGCTGCCCGCAACATCCTGGTCAACAGCAACCTCGTGTGCAAGGTGTCGGACTTCGGCCTATCCCGTTATCTGCAGGAAGACACCTCTGACCCCACCTACACCAGCTCACTGGTAAGAACTTGTCCAAGGACATCAGACTCACCACTTCATTTTAACAGAAGATAATAGGTGCCATGATTGGCACTTTTGGTTTGGCTTTATTTTCTCATTCGGATATGCTTTATTGTCTTTTCTCAAGAATGAAAAAGTGCATTGTCTCTCTGACAGGACACGACAATTTCCTGGGGGAAAAAAAAAAAAACTACATTTAAATTCTGTGTGTGATTGAACAAAGCAAAGTGACTGAACTTCCAATAGCCTGCCTCCCCAAATGGAGCGCTCAGACTTCCAGAATTCTCTATTATGTATCATTAATAGGCATCCAAGGCATCATTAGCCCTCCTGTGCTGCAGATCTTTAATATTAATATGAAATACTATTTTCTCCTGCCTCCTTAAAGACTCTCTATTCAGAGCGCTGTGATATTTCTGGTACTGTGGATTCACCACGTTAGTAATTATCTGGGTTTCCTGATAATTCATTGTCTTGTTCCGTCTTATCAGACCCTGTTAGGATTTCTGTGTTCAGGCTGGTTTTCGGAGGTACTGGTACATTGACAGTCACACTTTTAGCAGGGTCAACCGTTTCAATGCATAATTTCACTGCACTGGAGAAAAACAGCCCTAGGTCAAATCTTTTATTGAATGTGTTTTAAATTCACTTCAGACCTCTCATCGAAATGTCCCATGCATTGTAAGCAAACAATTTCATTTTTTACACTCGGGTGGTTCCTCGGCGCTGGTGATCAGAGATGTGAGGCGGATGATAAGTAGACGAGACAACAGACAGGGAATATTTAGCTAACATTTTGTCTCTCTTGAAATGTGTGAAAGCTCATTAAGCCCCAAAGGCAGCCGCCATTCACAAACAGGATGTCCTGTGGTGACTGTTGATTGACAGGAATATGCGGCAAAGGTGCGAACTGGGGTGCGATACTGACGTGACATCTCTGTCTTCCTTACTAATAGAGGGAGAATTTAATTACCCCCCAGGGTTTTTTGGGGGGCATTTTTGTCCGCTTGCCAACATTTCGTACCCTTTGTTTGCTAGCCTGGTTTAGGTTGATAAAATGATATGACATAATCTATCCATCCATCCATTTTTCTGATCTATCTTTTCTGATCTAGTTGTAGCTTGACCTTTCTCTTTACTGAGTTCACTGCATAGGGGAACGTTGACTGGATGGTCATGTGAAAGGGCCTTCAGTGTTTCTTCCATTGATGATGCTGTAGAATTTATACAAAGATTTAGAGCCCTGCACGGGCCTCAAATCTAGGCCCTAGCCCGGCCCTGGCCCGAGACGTCCAGGCCCTAGCCAGGCCCGTGTCCGACACCTCATCAGAATGATCAGCCCGAGTCCGACCCGAGCCCGTTATTTAAAAAAAAAAAAAAAAAAAAAAAACACCTTACACAGCCTGCCCTGTTGCAGCAGTCATTTAAACAGATATGTTTTGTCCTCAATGCCAAAGTAGTTACCGTTTAGATTATTTTCATTTCTTTATAAAGTTAATTAAGACAAATGTTTCTTTTTATTTTATTTTTTTATGACGACCAAGCACCCGACAGCGAGTTAAACATGTTTGATCCATTTATAGCCTCTCAAATCAACACTTTACTTGGCTACAATAAAATCCATAGATATAAAACAACTTAAACATATTCACACAGACAGTTAACGTTAGTTTAAAAGTTTGTTAAACGTTTATTGTCATTTTTGAAAAGCTGAGGCAAACTGCTCTGCTGCTCGCAACAGCGCTCGTACAATACAATTTACAATACAATACAGAGAATGCAATCTAAACAAATCAAATAAATTACATTAAAAACAAACATGCAGGTTATCTTACCTCAAAAATCAAGTCTTCACTACAGAACATGGCCATTCGTATTTCCAAAAGTTTCCAATAGACTCATGAAACTCAAGTCCAATCAAACAAAAAACAACAAGACAACCTCCTAAACAGTCTCTTACAGAGCATCGTGCAGAAAAAGCACCATCCACCGTGGAAAGTTTTAATCCAGTCGAACTTTTTCCAGCTGTGCTAAAGTCACGCTCACTACTCCTGCTGCTGGCGGGACACTAAACAGAGAACGTGCCGGTCGCGCGGATCGCGTTGCCGGGAAACCTGTGTGCGCGTGTGCGTGCCGTGAGCAGACTGTCGGTCATATATGTCAGTATGATAGGTTATAAAACGTCTTTCTATGTTTGCTTTTCAATAGTCACCTTCTCATATTTTATTTTAAGTAATATCTAAAATAGGCTATAAAAAAGATAAGCCTAAAACAGGCCCGAGGCCCGGCCCGCGTGTGAACTATGACGTTAAAATTGGCCCGAAGCCCGGCCCGAGGAGTGTAAATAAGTCGGGGCCCGTCGGGCTCGGGCTGAAATGCAGGCCTCTACAAAGATTTGCAGAAGATATGAAGGTTTAAGTATCTGTGATGTGATTAGCAGACAAATACACACACACACACTCACACACACCAATCCATCCATCCATGCAGTGATGATCTTTCAGGTTGTTTGACTATGTTGCTTCATCTGTCACTCTGTCAACTCTTTCACCAATGAATCACTCTCTGCGTCCAATATTACTGTTTTATGAAGTAACATCAAGCACTTTTTTTGGCGATGGAACCTTTTTGGTGATGGAACACTGATTCGGTACATATTGACTGAGTATACACATCCATCCAATCCATCCACCCACCCATCCATCCAATCCATCCACCCACCCATCCACCCATCATCCATCCACCCATCCACCCATCCATCCATCCACCCATCCACCCACCCACCACCCACCCATCCATCCATCCATCCATCCAATCATCCACCCATCCACCCACCCACCCACCCACCACCAATCCACCCATCCACCCATCCATCCATCCACCCATCCATCCATCCATCCATCCATCCACCCACCCACCAATCCACCCATCCACCCATCCATCCACCCACCCACCCACCAATCCACCCATCCACCCATCCATCCATCCACCATCCATCCATCCATCCATCCATCCATCCATCCATCCATCCGTTCCATCCATCCATCCACCCACCCATCCATCCATCCATCCATCCACCCACCCACCGACCCAATCCATCCACCCATCCGTTCCATCCATCCATCCACCCACCCATCCATCCATCCATCCATCCATCCACCACCCACCGACCCAATCCATCCACCCATCCATCCATCCATCCACCCACCCATCCATCCATCCATCCATCCACCCACCCACCCATCCATCCATCCATCCATCCACCCACCCATCCATCATCCATCCATCCATCCAATTTGTCTGTCTATCATTCTTTCTGTATGTCTGTCTTACTGTTTGTCCATCCGTCTTCCCATCCAAACTTGGATAGAAAAATGCAAGACCTAAATAGCTCAGTCACATTCAGTCATTCAGTCTGGACACACAGTACAGTACTGTACTGGACTCAGGATGAGAAATTTGTAAGTATTTGTGCCCATCTGTCTTCCTGTCACATGGACATTTTGCTTTTTAAATTGGTTTTCATCTTATTTATGTACTGTGTCTAACTTGAAGATAACACAAGCTTGTTCTAAAACACACACAAACTAGCCAATGAGTTCCTCGCCCAAAACTGGAGGATTCTTGGTCTTGGAGGAGATGAAATAGAAAACGGAGTGAAATGGAAAGTGAAGAAATAAAGAATTGTCCCTCACTTTCTCAGCATGAACACAGACTTCCCTCTCGCTGTCAGCATGACAAGTGCAGTGGCTGTGTGCTGCAAATGGAAAATAAAACTATTTACACTGAGGTGGGATCTGAATGTGTGACACCCCCTCGCCCTGCCACCCTCCTCTCTGTCACTTTCTGTTTCCCTCTTCCTCTCCATTCCCAGGCATGCCAGATTGTGGAATGTGACATGCTCATTCTCCCTTTCCTGTTTATACACTATTTCAATTCCTTCAGTGTCTTCAGTTATGTTCCCACACTTGTCTTCTCAGTTCCAGGTGTTAAAGTCTGATGTCCTTTAGCATCTCATGCAATTGTATAGTCTTGTTTAGCCAGACTTTTGCCTGTTAGTGTCAGGAATGGTTCAGATTACCACTTATTCTGGCCAAGAACTCTCACTGGTTTACACTGCCCATCTTGGTTTGCTGGCAGTGAAAATTGGCCTTTGACACACGCAAAAAAAGCCATCTGACCATCATAAAGCAGTTGTCTGGTTTTGTTGCATCGGCGTTGGCACCGGTTGCCCCTGTAGCTCAAGCAGTAGAGCTAGTATTTGTGTTGAAAAGAGAATGAATGACGGCACCACTATCAGTTAGTACATGTACAGTCTGTTCATCCACTTAAAAAACACATTTCTAAGAACAAGAAATGCATTTGTGTGTGTTTGATATAGTCTGAAGTGTCACAGGTACCTAAGCTATTAAGCCCATCAGTTATTACATTCCCTGTCTGTATGTGTGTGTGTCAGTCCCCAGTGCAGTGCAGCTGAGAACAACATGTGTGCTCGTTTTATGCTTCTTAATCTTTCCTGATCTCACAACAGCTTGCTTTGTACCAATCTAATAGTGTAAAACAGCATTTAGATGGAAAGTCTCAAGGTCACTTCCATAGAGCCAGATTCATTCTTAATGAACGCTGATTTTATGCTTTCATTTATACCAAATAATACGTTTTTGTTAGAATCTTAAAGCTACACTGTGTGATTTTTACCCCCATCTAGCGGTGAAAAGGTATATGACCATCCAGTGAATATTAGTTTCTGTTCCTCTCAATTCCGATTTCGTTTTAACTCCTACGGTGGCCAATGTAGTCCAAGATTAACATGGCTTCCAGTTCGACCTCGTCCATGAGTGTTAACTCAAATGTAAGCGCGAAAGGCGAAGCTTGAATTAACGGGTATGTCCCTCTTTGGCTAATGTACTTTCAAGATGGAGGGGCAATATGGCGACCGACATTAGAACCCCTTACCTGTATGTATTTTCAATGGCATACACTCACGATAATACTTTATT